GCGGGGGCCCCCGTGTCTCCCTTGATGGGTGCCACAGCCCCCCCCCACAGCCACGGTCCCAGCAGGGCTCTCAGGAGGGCTCGGCGTCCGGCGGGAGGTGGCTCCTGTGGGGACACTGGAGGATGCTGCCTGCCCTCAGGCAGGGCTCGGGGCTGGGCGGGCATTTCCTCCGGGCCACGGCCACCTCCGTGGGTGACTGTCGGCACTGCCTGACCGTTCTCTCTTCTGCTTCTTGCCTCCCACAGCTGGCCAAGGAGAGCGAGCGTCTCCAAGCAATGATGGCCCATCTTCACATGAGACCTTCAGAGCCAAAGCCTTTCAGCCAACCTGTAAGCGTGTGTCCCCCTCCTGTCTTTGCGCGTCCCTGCAGCCGCCCCCTCTCCTCCCCTTTCCCCTCGCCGCTGGCTGCCTTCCCCTCCCTACCCTGTGCGTGGTCACCACGGCCCTGCGTGGCCCGGCTGGACGGGGTCCCCAGGACAGGCATGCTCTGACCGGGCTCCGGTGCACGCAGCCTGGTTCCTTGTGCCAGTGCATGGCATCAAGCAGGAGTCAAATGCAGCTTATGTCGGCGTGTTGTGCTGCTCCACCAGTTTGGACATTTAATGGTCGCATCCCATCCCGTGGTTGCATCCCGTCCGACGGGTACATCCCATCCCACTGTTGCATCCCCTCCTGTGCGTGCATCCTCTCCTGTGGTTGCATCCCCATCCTGTGATTGCATCCCCATCCCATGGTTGCATCCCATCCTGCGGTTGGGTCCACTCCTCCAGTTGCATCCCATCCCATGGTTGCATCCCATCCCTGTCAAGCCCAGCAAATCCCCCCCACAAGCCCTTCGCCACCTGCTTTGTGGCATGAGCCGGCTCAGCCCCGCCGTGCTGCCAGTGTGCCGGAGGCTCTGCCAGCCCCTGCCTTCCCCGCACCGGTCCCCAACCGCTCGCCCTCCTTCCCACTTGTCCATGCAGCTGAACCTGGTCTCCAGTGCCACCCTCTCCAAGAGCACTTCCGACACGTTCCCCGACGGTTTACCTCATCCCCCCACCTCCGCCACGGCGCCCATCACCCCCCTGCGGCAGGGCCCCTCCGTCATCAGCTCTTCCACTTTACACAACGTGGGGCCCATCCGCAGGAGAAACTCGGAGAAGTTCTGCACCCCGATATCTTCAGGTGAGCTCCGGGATGGGGCTCAGCGCCCGCCATTGCGCAGTCCTCAGATCCCAAAACAGGTCACGTAACCCCCTCCTCCCCATTTCTTGTCCCCCCCTCCAGAACTTGCACAGAACCACGAGTTTTACAAAAACGCGGACGTCCGGCCGCCCTTCACGTACGCCTCGCTCATCCGGCAGGTGAGTGGCTCCCCGCGCCGCGGGGTTCAGATCTGCACCCCGAGACCTGCCCATGGGGCACAGCGGGCAAAGCTGTGCTCTCCCCCACTTTCTCGGTCCCCGGGGGAGCCCCCGTGCCCGCTGAACCCTCATTTCTGCCCCCAATGCCTTGCCACGGGACGGCTGTCAAAGCCCGCCGGGGCATGGCGAGTGATGCTCTTGTCCCCTCTCTGGTTTCCCAGGCCATCCTGGAGACCCCCGACAGGCAGCTAACGTTGAACGAAATCTATAACTGGTTCACGCGGATGTTTGCCTACTTCCGGAGGAACACGGCCACCTGGAAGGTGAGAGCAGCCCTGCTCGGTGCCACAGGGCTCGCCCCATCCCACCCGGGGCTACCTGCTGTGGGAGATGCTCCGGCTTATATGGGAACCTGTGGTAAAGGACCAGTTCATTGCACACCTCTGAGCTGGTGCAGGAAATGATTTTGTGGATAAATTCCACCTTTTCCCACCCCGCCAAACGCATCCCTGGTCTCTGGGGATGCGTCGTCCCTGCGGGTAGGATACGGCAAAGAGCCGCGCTGTAGAAACCCGGGGCTTTCTGCGGAGCTGGGGCTGGAGCGGAACCCCTGCCGCGGTGCCGGGAGAAGGGCCGAGAAAAGAGAGAGACACTCGAAATAGCAAATAAGGTTAATGATAACCCGGGGGCGGGTGGCACGCTGCGAGCGGGAGGTGCCGCAGCCGCGATACGGGGCGGCTGGGTCTCGGCGGTGGCCGGGGATGCGGGTGCTGGTCCGCGGGGACGGAGGGATGGCGGTGGTCACCGGGGGGACCGTCAGCGAGCGGGAGCACCTGCGAGACCTCGAGTGGGTGCCGGTGCCCATCGGGTCCCCCCACCCAGTGCACGGTGCTGTACAGGCAGGGGTTGAAAGATTTAGGCACCAGGGAGCCTTTTGTCACCGGTTTGGGCTGATGCGCATGAATTTTGGGGCAGCATGTTGGGGCAGCACATGGGCGCCGGAGCTGCTCCCCCCTTGGTTATATAGAAATCCCCAAATCTGAGAGAACTGAGAAAAAGCATTTCAGAGGAACACCGTGGTTGTGAGAAGGAGCAGTTACTGCCCTGAGCGGGATGGATTTATTTATTGTTTCCTGCTGCCTGTATTTACTGAGTCCGCTTCCTGCGGCTCAGGGCAGCGAGAGGCAGAGTGGCAGAGGGAGACGAACACTTTAAAATAAATTAGGATGAGCGAGACTGAAGCGCAATGGTGCATTTTGAAAGGGTTAAGGCAGGAATCGGTTATTCTGGAGCCCAGGGCCCCCGTGCGTTGCTGCCGCAGATCGGAGCGGACCGCAATAGGGATTTGCTTCTTCGCAGCAAACTTTGGATGAATAACGGGTGTTTTGGCTCCAGAGTGCTACGGGTGACCCTTGGCTTCGGCGTAGCCCATCCGGAGCATCCCCGCAGGCTGAGTGGAGTGGGTAGTGGCGGCGGGAAGGAGGAGGGCAGGAGCAGTCAGAGGTTCCGGGGCCGTTTTTGGTGCCGGCCGTGGCCCTGCGTCAGTCTGGAGTCCCCCTCACGGCACGCGTGCAGCACTGCAAGCCGGCGCCGCACAGCGCGGGGAGCATCGCTGGCCGCCACCGCTGTCCCAGCCAGGCCCGTGGGGACACCGCCGGGTGTGGGGACAGGGTGGGAGGTGATGGGGAGCATCGCCGGGGAGAGCCTGGGGCGGCCGGTGCTGCTCCCAGGGCTGGTGTCTCGCCGTGGGGCAGAGCAAGGTCTGTCCACGGCAACCCTTTCCCTGCTCTGTGCCTCAGTTTCCCTGTCTGTGGAATGAGATAACGGCAGGTGAAAGTGTCTTTTTCCTTCCCTTTTAGTAGCTGAAAGGAATAAATGTTTTGTTGGTTTTTTTTTTCCTTTGGGGCTGCCCTGCACCCCGTGTTACCCGAGGGCAGAGTTGATGTCTCAGAGAGGGGCTTTCCCCCGCCCCTCTCCTTTTCTTTTTTTTTGTTTTTTTTTTTT